GTTAACCTTTCTGGGCCATGGCACCCAGATATTTGTTCAGCCATTATTTTGGATGTTTCTATGGAGGTGTTTTTTGGATGAGATTAACATTTAAATGGGTGGGCTTTCAGTAAAGTAGACTGCCCGTCATAATGTGGATGGGCCTCATACAATCACTCGAAGGCTTTAATATAAAAAGACTGACCTGTTCCAAGCAGGAAGGAATTCTGCCAAGAGAATGCCTTTGAACTTGAACTCCCACCTGGGGAACTTGGTTAAACTGGAGACCACAGGTTGAACTTGGTCTCCAACCTGCCAGTCAACCCATGAGATGCTGAATTTGCTGAGCCTTGACAAATACGTGAGCCAACTCCTAAAAATGAATGAATGAATCCCAATCTCAGTCTCTCTTTCACTCTCCACACACATGCACACAAACACACACATACCCATTGGATCTACTCTTCTGGAGAACTCTAACACACTATCCAAAGGAAAATAAGACTTTGCCTTGAAATTTATTAAAAAGACACATAGTTTATTTGAAGATCAACAATCAATTATTAACTAAACCAACAATGAGTCTAGGAAAAGCCAGTGAAATTCCAGATGTGGGGCTTCCTAGTTCTTTACCAATAGTTTCATTTAACAGGACCCCTTCCTGACACCTTACACCAAAATTAACTCCAGATGGATTAAAGACTTAAACATCAGACCTAACACCATAAAAACCTTAGAGGAAAATCTAGGCAAAACCATTCAGGACATAGGTGTAGGCAAGGACTTCATGACCAAAACGCCAAAAGCAATGGCAATAAAAGCCAAAATAGACAAATGGGACCTAATCAAACTCCACAGCTTCTGCATGGCAAAAGAAACAGTCAGTAGAGTGAATCGGCAACCAACAGAATGGGAAAAAATTTTTGCAGCCTACCCATCTGACAAGGGGCTGATATCCAGAATTTACAAAGAACTAAAGCAGATCTACAAGAAAAAAACAAACAAGCCCATTCATAAATGGGCAAAGGACATGAACAGGTACTTTACAAAAGAAGACATACAGGAGGCCAACAAACATATGAAAAAATGCTCATCATCACTGGTCATCAGAGAAATGCAAATCAAAACCACATTGAGATACCATCTCACACCAGTTAGAATGGCGATCATTAAAAAATCGGGAAACAACAGATGCTGGAGAGGAGGTGGAGAAATAGGAACACTTCTACACTGTTGGTGGGAATGTAAATTAGTTCAACCATTGTGGAAGACAGTGTGGCAATTCCTCAAGGACCTAAAAATAGAAATCCCATTTGACCCAGCAATCCCATTACTGGGTATATATCCAAAGGATTATAAATCATTCTACTACAAGGACACGTGCACACGAATGTTCATTGCAGCACTGTTTACAATAGCAAAGACCTGGAACCAACCCAAATGCCCAACGATGATAGACTGGATAGGGAAAATGTGGTACATATACACCATGGAATATTATGCAGCCATCAAAAAGGATGAGTTCACGTCCTTTGTAGGGACATGGATGAACCTGGAAACCATCATTCTCAGCAAACTGACACAAGAGCAGAAAATCAAACACCGTATATTCTCACTCATAGGCGGGTGCTGAACAATGAGAACACAAGGACACAGGGAGGGGAGCACTACACACTGGGGTCTGTTGGGGGGAAATGGGGGAGGGGCGGGGGGTGGGGAAGTGGGAAGAGATAGCATGGGGAGAAATGACAGATACAGGTGAGGGGACGGAAGGCAGCAAACCACACTGCCATGTGTGTACCTATGCAACAATCTTGCATGTTCATCACATGTACCCCGAAACCTAAAATGCAATAAAATAAAATAAAATAAAATAATAAAAAAATAAATAAATAAATAAAATAAATAAAATAAAATATAGTTTCATTTAATTTTCCAAAACACTGGTAAAAGACACTGCTGTATCCAAGTCAGAAAAAGAAATCTGTTCCCTATCTCCTGCCAAGGAAAAATGCTTGAAACTAAAAATCAAGATGAGAAATTAAAATAATCATTAGCATCTTTGTAAATGTACAAAAAAAAAAAAAAAATTCGGCCCCCACACAGATAGACACAAATATGTACAGGTCAACATTCCCTAGAAAATTCATAAAGAATAAAAGTGTAATTATTAATTATCGTGTTTTTGGAGATGGAGCCTTGCTTTGTCACCCAGGCTGGAGTGCAGTGGCACATGAACTTGGCTCACTGCAACCTCCACCCTAGGTTCAGGTGATTCTCCTGCCTTAGCCTCCCAAGTAGCTGGAATTAAAGGTACATGTCACCATGCCTGGCTAATTTTTGCATTTTTAGTAGAGACAGGGTGTCAGCACATTGGCCACATTGGTCTCGAACTCCTGACGTCAGATGATCTGCCTGCATTGGCCTCCCAAAGTCCTGGGATTACAGGCATGAGGCACTGCACCTGGCCTACTGACTTATCATCTTTTATAAATTACTATTGATCTTGGACTATTATTTGCATGACTTTTCTCCATTTCTCATAATAATTTCTCATATTATTCTCATAATAATGAGAAATAAGTGTGAGTCCATTTTGATACTGCTACAAAGAACTGCCTGCGACAGAGTAATTTACAAAGCAAAAGGGTCTAATTAACTCGCAGTTCAGTATGGCTGGGGAGGCCTCAGTAAATTTACAATCACAGCAGAAGGCCAAGGGGAAGCAAGGTACCTTCTTCACAAGGCAGCGGGAAGAAGTGCAAAGCAGAGGGGAAGAGCCCCTCATAGAACCACCAGATCTCCTGAGAACTCACTCACTATCCGAGAACACCAGAGGGGAGGAGCCCCTCACAGAACCACCAGATCTCCTGAGAACGAACTCACTATCTGAGAACATAAGAGGAGAAGAGCCCCTCACAGAACCATCAGATCTCCTGAGAACTTACTCACTATCCGAGAACACCAGAGGGGAGGAGCCCCTCACAGAACCATCAGATCTCCTGAGAACGAACTCACTATCCGAGAACACCAGAGGGGAAGAGCCCCTCACAGAACCATCAGATCTCCTGAGAACTCACTCACTATCCGAGAACATCAGAGGGGAAGAGCCCCTCATAGAACCATCAGATCTCCTGAGAACTCACTCACTATCCGAGAACATCAGAGGGGAAGAGCCCCTCATAGAACGACCAGATCTCCTAAGAGCCCCTCATGGAACCACCAGATCTCCCGCGAACTCACTCAGGATCAGAGAACACCAGAGAGGAAAAGCCCCCATGACTCAATTACCTCCACCTGGTCTCTCCCTTCACATAGGGATTACAGAGATTACAATTCAAGATGAGATTTGGGTGATGGGGACAAAGTCTAGCCATATCCAGTGGTAGGGAGTATTGCAATATTATGAATGAGTGGCCAGAATAGAACAAATTTCCTTACATAAAAGAATCACCTGATCTTTAGAATGCTAATTACTAGGGCTTCTAAAGACTCTCAGATGTGCTGTTAATGCCCTAGGAGTGCCTATATCAAAACAGCCTTGGCTGGGACTGTGTTTTAATGGTTACACACGACAGGAAAGAGCAATACAGGAGAGGAGTCACCAGCGGCAGGTAGAGACCAGGGCATAGGGATTCAACAGGAAACCTAGCAAACCTCGATTCATCGCCTCCAGCTGTGGCTTTATGAAGCCGTCACCAGCAGAGTAGTGGTTCTCAAAGTGCGGTCCCCAGGTCACCAACATTAACACCAACCAGAAACCTGTTAGAAATGTACATTCTCGGGTGGCTCACACCTGTAATCCCAGCATTTTGGGGGGCCAAGGTGAGTGGATGGCTTGAGTCCAGGAGTTCGAGACCAGCCCGGGCAATATAGCTAGACCCCATCTTTACAAAAAACTTAGCCAGGGATGGTGGCCTATGCCTGTAGCACCAACTACTCAGGGACTGAGGCTGAAGCGGGAGGATCATCTGAGCTTCGGAAGTGAAGGCTGCAGTAAGCCAAGATGGCACCACCAAACTCCAGCCTGGGTGACAGAGAGAGATCCTGTCAAAAAAAAAAAAAGCACACTCTTGCACTTACTCATCCAATCTCTGGGAAAGGAGACCAACAATCTGTTTCAACAAGCCCTCCAAATAATTCTGATGCATGATAAAGTTCGAGAACCAGTGACCACTAGGTAAAGTCAAATATTTGTTAATATAAGGCAGAAATTAGGAAATTCAGAAAACGGAGTGGCTGCATTTTTACCACCTCACTATATAGAAGAAACTGCTATTTATATTATCCCTCCTTTTTTGAATAAGGTATTCGTTAAAAAATGTTTTCCCATCACTAACATTAGTTAAGACTTTCCACTAACCTAAAATTTCCAATCCATTCACAAGGCTGCTCAGCTCAGCAAGACAGAACAATGGTAAACGTTTCTAAGAAGGTTGATGGTACATTCTCAGGTAAAGCTTTCAAGTTGAATGCACCATATTATAAGTTGCTAAACTGTATATATTTATTTATCTATTTTTAAGATGGAGTTTCGCTCTTGGCACCCAGGCTGAAGTGTAGTGGTACAATCTCGGCTCGCTGCAACCTCTGCCTCCTGGATTCCAGCAATTCTCCTGCCTCAGCCTCCCAAGTAGCTGGAATTACAGGGGCCCACCATCACGTCCAGCTGATTTTTGTATTTTTAGTAGAGATGAGGTTTTGCCATGTTGGCCAGGCTGGTCTTGAGCTCCTGACCTCAGGTGATCCACCCGCCTGAGCCTCCCAAAGTGCTGGGATTACAGGCATCAGCTACTGCATCTGGCCAAGTTGCTACACTGTAAGTATTTAGTTCTTCCATCATGTGCGATGTAAAAGCTAAAAAGGGGAAAAATACACATAATACTTCCACAAAGTTTTCACTTCCTTATAGGAAAATTTGTCAATGGGGACAAAATCCTATCGAAGAGGCAATCCTTGGGTCAATCTGATTCAGACTATTAACAGGCATTAGCATTCCGCAGTAGAGGGAAGATAAATACCTTTAAACTGCTTAATCATGTTCTGATGGTTTTCGATGGCTTCCTTCAAGATCATTTCAGGCTGGTCCATCTTCCATCGCCATTCAGTGCCCACAGGGTTGGTGTGGTGCCTAGGAACAAGACGCAGCGTTGTTTATGATGAAGTTGTCCATTTTTAAATCACAAGATCAGGGCTGGTTTCCTCCTAAGAGTTCAACCATTTATACTGGTATCTTCCAACTTATTTTAAATCATGACACCTAACAGAGAGGGGTGGATAGAGAAATCACTCAACTCTTTCCAGAGGTATTTGTCATCTAACTGACTCAGCTCCAATGACAGGCTGACGGAACACTCTCTGCTGCTTTCACCAAGTTAACTATGGACATACATGCTGGGCGCGGTGGCTCACGCCTGTAATCCCAGCACTTTGGGAGACAGAGACAGGTGTATCATTTGAGGTCAGGAGTTTGAGACCACCATGGCCAGCATAGTTAAACTCCATCTCTACTAAGAATATAAAAAATTAGGTGGGCGTGGTGGCGGGCAACTGTAATCCCAGCTACTTGGAAGGCTGACACAGGAGAATCACTTGAACCCTGGAGGTTGCAGTGAACTGAGATTGCACCGCTGCACTCCAGCCCAGGCAACAGTGTGAGACCCCATCTCAAAACAAAACAAAAACTGTGGTGGTGTACACAAACAAGGCAAACTGTCACCGCATGTTACTATCATCCAGGTCAACACTTCATAAAGCAAGGGAGGACAGCTGAAATGCCTGCTGGGAAATCATACTGACAGGACCTGAGAATGTGTTTCTCTTGATGCAGGCCTGGGAAAAGGACAAGAAACACCACCCGGGACCCAAGCAGCTACCACACGAATGCCATTATGGAACCAAAAGCACTGCCAGAGTGTATCCTGCCCCAGGAGCCAAAGCCCCTGTATCTCTATATTCCTGAGGTCCCACCATCATCACTCCATGGCCATACAAAAGATTACAAACTTCTGTAATCTCTTGGGTTACATAAAATCTTTTGGGCCGGGCACAGTGGCTCACACCTGTAATCCCAGCACTTTGGGAGCCTGAGGGGGTCAGATCACAAGGTCAGGAGTTTGAGACCAGCATGGCCAACACAGTGAAACTCCGTCTCTCCTAAAGATACAAAAAATTAGCCAGGTGTTATGGTGCACACCTGTAATCCCAGTTACTCAGGAGGCTGAGGCAGGAGAATCGCTTGAAGCTGGGAGTTGGAGGTTGCAGTGATCCGAGATTATGCCACTGCACTCCAGCCTGGCAAGAAGGTGAGACTGTCTCAAAAAAATAATAATTTCATAAAGGTGAAGGAATCCTTAGAAACTCATTATACGAGGCCAGTATCACTCTGAAAACAAAACAAGACAAAAACACACCAAAAAAGAAAACAGCATGCCTATATTCCTGATGAACAAAGCTGTAAAAATCCTCAACAAAAATGTTAGCAAACAGAATTCAACAGCACATCAAAATGATGATACACCATAATCAAGTGGGGTTTTCCCCAAAGATATAAGCATTGTATGCACAAATCAATAAATGTGATATATCACATCAACAAAGTGAAGGACAAAAACTATCAGTCACCTCAATGGATGCAGAAAAAGCCTTTGATAAAATTCAGCATCCCTTCATAAAAAAAACTCTCAACGAATTAGGTATAAGTGGAATGTACTTCAACATAATAAAGGCCATATACAACAAACCTGTAACTAACATTACACTGAAGAGAAAAAAAAGTAGAAGGCTTTTCCGCTGAGGACTGGTGGAAGAAGACAAGGATGCCCAGTGTCACCACTCTTACTCAACATAGCACTGGGAGTCTCACCCAGAGCAGTAAGGCACGAAAAAGAAATAGCGGACATCCAGATTGGAAAGAAGGACGCTAAACTGTCCCTGTTTATACACGACAGAGTCTCATACAGAGAAAAACCTAGAAACCACACCAAAAAACTCTTAGAACGGAAGAATGCAGTAAAGCTGCAGAACACAAAATCAACACAAAAATCAGTAGCGTTTCCCTAAACTGCTAACAAACTAGCTGAAAGGCAAATCAAGAAGTTAATTCCACTTTAAATAGCCACACACACACAAAAATACCTAGAAATGAATCTGGCCAAGAAGGCACAAGATCTCTGCAAGGAAAACTGCGTATCACTGAGGAAAGAAATTGAAGAGAACACACACAAAAAAAAGGAAAGACATTCCATGTCCATGGGTTGGAAGAATAAATACAGTTAAAGTTACCATGCTACCCAAAGCAATTTACAGATTATATGCAATCCCTATCAAAACACCAAAGAAATTCTTTACAGAATTAGAAAACAATTCTAAAAATCACATGGAACCACTAAAATAGCCAAACAGCCAAAGAAATCCTGTGCAGAATGAACACAGCTCAAGGAACCACAGTACATACTTCAAAATATACTATAGCCAGGCGCAGTGGCTCACGCCTGTAATCCCAGCACTTTGGGAGGCTAAGGCAGGCAGATCACAAGGTCAGGAGTTCAAGATCAGCCTGGCCAACATAGTGAAACCCCGTCTCTACTAAAAATACACAAAATTAGCCAGGTGCAGTGACGGGCGGCTGTAATCCCAGCTACTCAGGAGACTGAGGCAGGAGAATCACTTGAACTTGGGAGGCGGAGGTTGTAATGAGCTGAGGTCATGCCACTGCATTCCAGCCTGGGCAACATTGCAAGACTCTATCTTAAAAAACAAAATACTATAAACCTATTGTAAGCAAAGGACCATGGTATTGATAAGAACAAACACACAGACTCATGGAACAAAACAGAGAACACAGAAATAAACCCAAATATTTACAGGAAACCCACTTCCAACAGAAGTGCCCAGATAATACACTGGAGAAAGGCAATCTCTTCAATAAATGGTGCTGGGAAAATGGGATTTTCATACACAGAAAAATGGAACTAGACATTCACCTCTCATCAAATACAAAAATCAACTCAAAATAGATTAACGACATAAACATAAGACCCGAAACTGTGAAATTACTAGGAGAAAACATAGAGGAAACACTTAAAGACATTGGTCTGGACAATGCTTTTATGAATAAAACTTCAAAAGCAGAGGCAACAAAAGTAAAAATAAATATACAATTAGGGTGATACCAAACTAAAAAGCTGCTGCACAGCAAAAAAAAAAAAAAAAAAAAAAAAAAACCTATCAACAGGGTGAAGAGACAACTTGAAGAATGACAGAAAATATTTCCAAAGTATTCATCAATATTTCCATATGTATCCTTATAATTAATATTCAGAATATACAAAAAATTTAAACAATCCAACAGCAAAAAAACAAACCCACAAATAATCTGATTTTTTAAAGGGCAAATTTCTCAAAAGAACATATACAAATGGCTAACAGATACATTTTTAAATGCTCAACATCACTAATCATCAGAGAAATGCAAATCAAACCCACAATGACATTCCATCTCACTCAAGTTAGAATGACTATTATCCAATAATAAAAAAATGCTGACGAGGATGTGGAAAAAAGGGAACTCTTATATACTGTTGTTGGCAAAATGTAAACTACTACAGTCATTATGGAAATCAATACGTAGATTCCTCAAAATACTAACACTAGAACTACCATATGATCCAGCAACCCCACTACTGAATATATATCCAAAGGAAAGGAAATCAGTATGTTGAAGAGATGTCTGCACTCTCATGCTTAGTGTAGCACTATTCACAATCACCAACATAAGCAATCAACCTAAGTGTCCATCAACACATGAATGGATAAAGGAAATGTGATAAACATTCACAATGGAGTATTATTTAGCTCTATGAAAAATTATGTGGCTGGGCATGGTGGCTCACGCCTGTAATCATAGCACTTTGGGAGGACTGAGGCTGGTGGAGCACTTGAGGTCAGGGGTTCGAGACCAGTCTGGCCAACTTAGTGAAACCCCGTCTCTACTAAGAATATAAAAAATTAGCCAGGTCTGATGACATCCACCTGTAATTCCAGTTACTCAGGAGGCTGAGGCAGGAAAATCACCAGAACCCAGGAAGTGAAGATTGCAGTGAGCCGAGATTGTGTCACTGTACTCCAGCCTGGGTGACAAGTGAGATTCTACCCCTGCCCCTCCCCACCCCCCCCAAAAAAAAAAATCCTGAGCAGAGTGGCTCAAGCCTGTAATCCCAGGAATTTGGGAGGCCAAGGCAGGTAGATCATCTGAGGTCAGGAGTTCGAGACCAGCCTGGCCAACATGGGGAAACCTCATCTCTACTAAAAACACAAAAATTGGCCAGGTGTGTGGCACACATCTGTAATCCCAGCTACTTGGGAGGCTGAGGCAGGAGAATCGCTTGAACCCGGGAGGCAGAGGTTGCAGTGAGCCAAGATCGTGCCAATGCACTCCAGCCTGGACAAAAGAGTGAGACTCTGCCTCAAAAAACAAAAACAAAAACAAAAAAACAGAATTTCACATACCATAAAATTCCCCATAAATTTTATTTTAAATAAAATGTATGTATACATCATTAGCTTTTTGGTATACTGAGTTGTACATCCATCACCAAAATCCATTTTAAACATTTTTTCATTCCCAGAAAGAAACCCTGTCCCTTTGGTGTCACTCTTCAATCACTGTATCCCCTCTGGCCCTAGGCAACTACTAATTTACTTTCTGTCTCGACAGATTTTTCAGTTCTAGGCAATGCACAGAAATGCGATCTCACTATAGACGCAGTCTGTGGTGACTGGCTTCTTTCACTTAGTGTAAAATTCTCAACATTAATCCATGCTGCAGCTTGTATCAGTACTTAATTTCTTTTTGTTGCCAGATGACATTCCTTTGAAGGGATACACCACATGTTGTTTCTCTGTTCATCAGTTAATAGGACATCTGAAGTATTTCTACTTTTTGGACATTCAAATATCTTTTCATGTGCTTACTGGTCATTTTATATCTTCTTTGGAGAACTGCCTATCACGATTTTTTGGGTTACTTCTTCAACACAGATATAACTCTTTTCCTCCACCCTTCTCCCATCTCTCAGGCTAACCATGAGAAAGGAAAACAGACAGAATTCTCAATTCAAAATTTCAAAA